TTGCACGTGCTTGCTTGTCTCCACAATCTTAGCAGCCTCAGTCGCAGGTTCGGTAGTGTTCCGTGCGGCGTGCGAGTCGTGTAAAGGTGTCGTTTGTTCGTTTTTAGTTGCAGCGTTTTCTGACATGGAGATGATCGGCCCTACCACACACTCATCACCATGCTGGCTGCCCTGTCCTCCTTCACATGATTCCTTTTGCGACATTGGCGTTGGATGCGAGCGCTCTTCCCCGCCCTCACTCCACTGTGCCGGCGCTGCTTCCGTGCCTTTTGCCTGCTTGTTGTTGTCTTCGAGCGGAAATGTACGCTCAGGCTCTTCACGGATGACAACGCAGCCATCGTCGGGAAACGCCACTGTATTGTGATCCCGCTCCTCAGGCTGGCTCATCTCCGACTCACCAATGTCTTCCTCGTGTACTTTTCCAAGCACTTGCATCTCCTTCTTTGACTCTGAAAGGGGAACGTGGATCCAATCCGCAGGTTCATCAATGGAATCCTGGATCACCAGCTTGGGATGTCTGTCAAATCCTTCTCCCTTCTTCAAGTTCAGCGGTGAGGCAGGCGGAACCGGGATCACCTCTACCCTTTCGATGAAGCTGATCTTTCGGGTCTGCGGTTCACTTGGATGATCGGTATGCCTTCGCTCCTTCACGTGATGGTCATCGTCCTGTTTCGGTCCGAGAACTTCCTGTGCCCGATCAAATGGTTTTACTACCTCGAACTCGTCCGAGATGAAAGCTTGGTCGTCAGATATTTTCCTCTCCTCCGCAAACTTCACAGCTGAGAGCATGCCGTCAGGACTTAAGTCATCCGCGCTCCCTTGGCTGCAAATGCTTTCTGAACGGCTTGAACCTCGAACAAATCGCTTACCCTCCTGTCGGGAAACTTTTCGTCTTTGATGGATGTCGACCTCTCTTTGTGATTCACAGTTGGGAACCGTGGCTACGATTGGTTCATCAGCTGTGTTCATGCGCACCAGGGGTGGCTTGGGCGTGTATTGCGACGGCGAGGGAGTACACGGAAGGCTTTCTTCCCCCGACACGAAGTCTGCGGGGTGGCTGTCATCAAAGCAGCACGCGACATCGAGACGTTCTTGCCAGCTGATTTTTCTGCCCGGCGCGGAAGGCTTCGAGACTCGATGAGTCGCCTTCCAATCGTCGCTCCCGATGGGACTCCCGTGAAATGTATCCTCTCGCTCCGACGACACGGCAGCTTCATTGCAGGCCGGTGATGGCTTATCCATTGAGTTCGGGTCGGCGTTGCTGTCAGAAATAACGGACGCTACCAGCGAGGGCTCGATGTTCTCTTCGGGCGCCCTGGAGTCGCGCGCCTCGGCACCAGCGAACGCAGTGACTGTTGCTTTGTGGTGACGTTTATCACCTATGCGCGTCGTCTCTGGGCGCGGCGCGTCGCTGGATTTTCGCGGATCGATGGCTCCTCTGTTTGAGGATGGCGAGGGCGGGGGTGTTCTATTACGAGGTGACCCGATCACCTCCTCAGAGGCCTTGTCTCCGCGCGACGCCACTGTCTTCCCGGTCATACGTTCATTATTGTTGGCGGGGTCGATGCGACCGGAGCGCATCGCTTTATTAGCCTCATTACGTGCCGCTCCATTTGGGAAAGGGCTGAGGGAACGCGGCGGCTCGTCGTGCCCATCGGCCGGCTGTTGCCCGGCCGCCACGTGCTTTGATGGTGGACTGTCGATGTCTATAAGTTGTGCATCGACCTGTTCCGCACGGGGCAGGTGTGTGCGGGTCTCCGACTCGGTGCCCGAGCTGTCTGCTGGGCTTCGCATGCTGTCATCCATTAAGCGCCGCCTTGAATTTTCGCATTCAGACGCGGTGCCTTCATCAGCGTTGTCGTCTCGGGACGCCACAGCGTCGGTAGGTCGCCGATCAATTGCTTTGTCGGTCGTAATCCCCTCAAATCCGGGCGGTTTCCACTCCAGATCGTTACGCGAAACCTCCTTGGGTCTTTCAGTCGCAGTGGGACCCGCTTCTTGTTCTTCCATGGCGACGATCTCTTCGGTGCTGCTCTCGACAGCCGGCGTGAATGCCAAAAGCTCCACTTTCTGGCCACCGGCTATGTCATGCGTTTCGTCGTCACTGTGACGGCGAGAGTCGACTGAACCACCAGCTGAGGGCTGGTCCACCGGGGTCTCCTCCACTTCAACAGACGTCTCCCGGACAGTGGAGAGAACACGCAGTGGTGTGCGGTGTGCGCCGGGCTCCGTCTCCGCCCGCTCCTCCTCCTCCACGTCCACCTGGAACGGGCTACCGTCCACATGCTGACCGCCGCAGACGACAGCAACACTGAGCGGACCGACGGCCGGCGGCCGGTAGCTGAGCAGCACCGTCCTTCCCGTCACCACGTAGCCGACCGGAATGTTGGAGCGCGGCCGAGCGCTGCCGGCCGCAGGCAGCAGCGCGTCGTCGTCCAGCTCGCGCCGCGGGGGCGAGCGCGACGTCAGGCGCTGGCTGAAGTAGTCGCCGGCGGCGGAGCGCATCTCGACCAGCACGTCCAGCCGGCCGGCGCGTGCGAGGTGCACGCTGAACTGCGCCGTCCGACCGCGCCGCGCAGCCTGCAGGCCGGCACCGGCCGCCGAGGCGCCGCCGTCAGCAGGCCGCTCCTCGGCGGCCAGCGGCGCCTCCTGCGTCAGCGAGAGGCGACGGCGGAGACGGCCGCTCGCCTCGCGCAACGCATCGATGTAGGTGGCTAGCTTCTCCTCTGCCCGGCCCGACACCACGTCCGTCACCGTCAGGGTCTGTCGACACAGCAAAAGAGCCCTTAACACATGATTTTCACTATGACAGTCCACCGACAAGGTTACAGGGGACCCCCGACGAGATATGCCGACATAACGGGGGCCTTCCAGATGCACCCGCACGATCAGGGTCTGTCCCGCACCCGCAGATGCACGATCAGGGTCTGTCGCTACCAAACGTGATCCTGATGGACGCGTGTCATTCGCCGTCAGAGTTAAACGACACGACGGCAGATGCCTTCGACGCATGTTCGTCATCAAATATCTGTCATATTTCACGCATGCGTATATCTCAACACAATGCTGAGTGAATGCTCCCTCACAAACGCTTACACAGACACCCAATGATCTGAAATGTTGACAGAAAAATGTGAGCTTGAACCATCGGAAAGCTAAGAAAATATGGTATATTGTGATTGCGAAAGTTAAAGTCTCATGCTTATATCGCAATGGACATGAACAAATGTTTGCTAGAACTTACTTTAAAGCGAGTGTTCTGCGTTTGTCTGAGGCTTTGAACTGAAATAGCCAGCTTGAGGATCATTCTGTGCATATCACAGCCCGCCCCTCGTAAGACCTAATCCGCTCGAATTTGTGAGCTACAGGCCCGCGAAGACGTGCAGACCATTTCGAGAAGACTTTTTCAAGGCCACCCAGGCCTCCATGACGCCAGAATAACGGCATGCAAATACAGCCATTCCATAACCCATACGACGATCAAGGCCAAAAGTTTCATTTTTGAGTGGTTTATATCTAACGTTCGTGAGAACGACTGCCAGATAAACGGCCTTCAGTCAGCTCCCAATCAATGGCGTGCAAGGCAGGATGACGTAATCAAACAAGGACGTATTGAGAAGCGTATTTACTAGCCAGAGAAATTCTGTTGTCTAGAACAATCTTTTCCACTTATAAGTATGCCAATAGTAATAAGTGAGCTTATTTCATTAGATCTGATGCTTGCCTCGGCATCTTCAAATGTGGAACATACCCTTCGAGTACATGAGAAGTTTACATGCTTGATGCAGTGTGTCTGCTCATTTTAACAGCCTTCCTTGCGTCGCGTTGTCTGGTGAATACTCCGGTGCGTGTATTTCAGCGGGATCTTGTCACTGGACAGGAACACGTTTTCAGAGGATTTACTGCACGCAATGTTTTAAAATATGAAGCGAACTGATAATGTTGGGATAACCGGACCCGCACTTAATGAAAATATTATGTATATTGTTAAAAGAGATACACGCAATATACGCGATATAAACATAATGCGTATATTGAGTGGTGACAAGCACAAAGTTTGCACGTTAATCAAGGTGGTCGATCAAGGTGAAACACGCCGATTAACAATAAAAAACATGCTACGTAAAAGTGATCGAAAATAATATTCAGGCAAGCTTTGTGGAGTATTCGTATTTTCGAAACATTTCACGTCATCAAATCTTCATGGCCTCGGCTTTTTCCTGATGCTTACATCCCTACCACTGCCCTGAAAGCACAGTGCGTGTTGATGGGTTCAGCTCGCCATTGCGACGAGGTGACCTTCTGCATACATTGATCTCTAGAATACGGCAAGGGTGCTATAGCGTCCTCGATTGGCAATTCGCCATAGTCTTTTGATCTGAGGCGTGCGACCCTACCGCATAAATTGTCGGTGGGTCTCTTTTAACAAAGGGCTTTTGTGGATACCGCGGAACTTTAACCGATGACTCGAAGTAATGAAACTGCCGGCGCAGGCACCAAGCAGTGCAGTCAATCCTAACTAACGGGCTCAAGAGATCACTGACCTGACCGAAATACGTGCGGCGCCAATCCGAAACAATGCGATGGGCTCAACATCACACAATGAATGTCACATGGCATGGATCAACGAACTATTGACTTATCTTCTGGGCCGTTTGCAACTAAACGATATTTCTCCCTCGAAAGCGCCCTTCGCTGTGAACTACAATAAAGCATATTGATTTCAGGCATCATTGCGCAAAAAAAAAGCAAATACATACAGCTCACAGATGACTCCCGCCAATGCAAAGCCGCGCTCGACCCGCTCCTCGGCGGCGCCGCGAACCCACGAATCTCTGCGGGCGGCGACTGACCGGCAGCACGTGGAGGTCGAGGCGGGCCAGGCGCAGGGCGCTGTTGACGTTCTCGATGGGCCGGTCGGCGGCGGGCGCCGGCGGCTCGGCGGCGGGCGACACCGCCCCGACCAGCCGCAACAGCGCCACGCCGTCGGCCCAGTCGGCGCCGAAGTTGGCTGGCGGCGCGGTCGGCAGGTGCAGCCGCACCCACTCCAGCAGCTCGCGCCGGTCGGGCCCGGCCAGCGCTGCGGGGCAAAGAGGCCAGGTCACAGTCAGGATGGAGCCCGCTGTAGCCACGGTCAGGATGGAGCCGGCCATGACGTCACGGTCAGGATGAAGCCGTCCACAACGTCACGGTCAGGACAGGGCCGTCCATGACGTTACGGTCAGGACAGGGCCGGCTATGACGTCACAGTCAGGACAGAGCCGGCCATGACGTCACGGTCAGGACAGAGCCGGCCGTGACGTCACGGTCAGGATGAAGCCGGCCACAACGTCACGGTCAGGACAGAGCCGGCCACAACATCACGGTCAGGACAGAGCCGGCCACAACGTCACGGTCAGGACAGAGCCGGCCACAACGTCACGGTCAGGACAGAGCCGGCCATGACGTCACGGTCAGGACAGAGCCCGCCGTGGTCACGGTCGGGACAGAGCCTGCCATGACGTCACGGTCAGGACAGAAAGCGCCGCGTCATGCTGCAATCACCATTACCCCGCTGAAACAGTCCACCGGGTCATCGCAGCACCCGCCAGCACCAATAGCAGCTGTAAGCTGCCCACCGGAAATGCATGGACTTCACGACCTGACAAATATGATATAATGCGTGAGGGTGCGTTGATCTGTGTCTGGGTTATGGGTGCAAGTGGTCGACATTGGGCGTGCGTTTACGGTACACCGAGCTAGCGGCGTTGGCGCTACAAATGGCGAGGACACTTGTTGGACGCGGATTTTAATGAACGATGCTGTATGAGCAGCCAGCCATAGCGGCAGGCCGCGAACAGGCGCAGCGGTGACATCGGCCTCTGGGGAAAGGCCGGAGGCACCGCTTCTCCCTTATTGCGGAAGCCGACCAACAGCAGCTAGGGGGAGGCCGTCACGTGCTTGGCGCGCCGCCGCCGGCCGCGGCTTATTGTTTGCTAACCGACTATTGATCGAGGTGGTGATTGCAGGTTCTCAAGACCGAATTCGGGATGGCAGTGCAATGACATTCACGCAGCACAAGTTTCTGTCTGACTTGTCCGGCTTTCATCCACCTCCGGAGCTTTTACTGTCCAACGTCTTTTACCGACCAACGTGTGGGCGCAAAATGACCTGAGAAGTCGGCGCGCCCTATAACCCCAATCATCATCACTACAGACAAACGTTATCATCTTACTGATATTTAACCGCTATATAGGCGTATATGGGGTTACGTATATGGGGTTTTATGCGGGTTTCATCAATTCTTTGCGCGAGACCATGCTGGACTCCTTTGATTTGATGAGCTATGTTCCCCACCGTTGAAGCTGAAACGTTCTGGACTTGGCTGAATGGCGAAGTGTTGCTGAATGTCTGAGCCCGACCGAACTGTTCTTAACACGCGCCCGGGTGGCCGGTTGGTTAGGGGTCAGTTTGATCCCCCGTGAGATCTCAGAAACTAAGAGAGCTAGGGAAACCCAATTCACAGAGTGCATTGGCCTGTACGTGGGCTCCCTTATGTCAAAGCTTGAGGTTCCTAGGTCATGGCCTTCGGATCGAGTAAGGTCAAACAAGGGCAAGCTTCAGGCTGGTGTCCAAAATGCCCACAGAACCTAGATATCTGCTCTAACCAAAATATTACAGATTTATTTAAGATCAATGAACTTATATGACCTTTCAAAGGTAACGGTAATTAAAGTCGTGCAAGACCGGTTTGAGTTTTGCGTTCGAATAACCGACAAATATTACGTCAAGCATATGTCTCTAAAAACAAAACGTTGACCTGAGTCATTTTAGGTCAGTGACCTATTCTGACTTTTAAGAAGTTCGTGGAACATTTATAATGCGGTTCCTGTTGCCAATAAATTTGAAATGAGCACCAGAAGCCAACCCATACAGCAAGCCCTACTAAAATGAAACGGGCTAGTTTTGACCTAAGTCTGACCTCCGCACTTGACCCTAAGTCAACATAATTTGCTCATTCAATCGTTGTGTTACCTAAGAAAGTATCTCAGAGATGTGTGGTTTTGACTAACACTTCGTTGTTGCATCAGATTAAACGATTACGTACAAAATGATTTCGCTGAATACATGACCTGACTTTGACCTGCCGTAGGCAAGCGACCTTACAAGGTGCATCTAAATTGTTATTACCAAACGATCCGCTATTCAATGCTCTACAGCTATGCATACTTTGGCGCAGCTACGCCGCGCCGTTCGGAAACCATTCCGGAAAAAGCTTTGGGGCGTCAAAGACCGTCTCGTTTTTACAGTTTTCTCATTATTTTACCCGGCCGATGTCTGACTGAGTTGAGCTAATTGCGGATTGCTTGCATCAAGACCAAGTACTGTTTAGTAAGGTATGATGCGCATGGGCTGAAAAAGGCGGATCCTGGTCCAACGGAGAAATGACCTTGAGTATTTAGCTGTTATATGGGTCACGTCAAAAGACTTCGAAAACAATGTCATGTTCCCTACAAAGCATCGAAGATCTTTAATAATGAAAAAGACGCCAGTAACACGTAAAATGCGTGCAAATAGGAAGATGACATATGTAGAGGTGCTTGGTAATTACATTAGAGGTACTGCAGCGAAAATTTGTCTGAGATCAGCCTTTTAGCAACTGATGAAGGTTTTCTTTTTTTCTGACGGCCGATGTCACGTGCATCAGCAAGTACGCTATTTCATGGGCGTTTTTATGCATGAACAAAGGTGGCGTCAGTTATCAGTATGGATAGTCGGAAAATATTTCGATACCAAGCTTCTGTAGTTGTTCTAGTTTCTGCTATGACGAAACATCCCTTTTTCAACAGCATTGTGCAATTTTTGATCTAATTCTATCGGGGCGGATTCACGTGGCGTAAGGACATCAAACACCTTATTCCTGTGACTGGAACAGTCTTATTTTTGGACGCTGGCACCAAAAGCTCCTGGCAGAAGATCTCGCGTAACGATTTGGTTGTTCCCCTTGTTCGGTATGTCTATTCCCCACACCACCAGAAGTTCTCGCTTGATGTGTTCTTGCCATCTTTTCTGCCTCAAAAACCTGGTTATGAATCGTCACAGCCTTGTTGGCATTACAATAATAAAACACAGTACCTTATTCTAGCAACCTCTTCTGAGCATGGCACACCCAACGCTGACGTATTAAAATCGTTAAGCTTTAGCTTCTCATTTCGGCATGAGCTTAGTGTTCGTGGCCACCGCATCAACAAAAGTTGTAATACAGCGTTCTGTGAAGGTTACATCGCAACATTGGTTAACAATTAGAGTGGTCTATCCTTCATCCCACGCTGGCATAAAAACAACTTATGTGAATAATTGATTGATGTCCTTTTGTGACCAGCCTTTAACATCCACATGCCCCGAACCAAACAGCACTGCATGACTATAAGCCACGCGTTTTTTTGTGAGCAATATCATACAAGCGGCTGATACGTTTATAAAGTGTTGCATACAGTTATTGCATTTGGAAAAAACCGACCATACCTCAGGTGTGAGCTTAAAGAAGTGTTATAACAATCGTTGCTTTCGAAAAACACCAATACAACCACAGGTTTGACCTGTCACTATTTTGCTCCAACCTGAACACTCGATGTGATTGGAATCACTATACCTGTTCTTGACCGCTACATGCAGCAGTTTTTCCGGCTCAGTGCGCGGTGCATGGCAGAGCATGAGGTAAGTTCGCCTGTTCAGTATCTACCTGTTGGTGCTGCCTCCTGGACAGTTATTTTTCGTGACTCAGACACGATTTGGCTATACATCGCAATTCTCCGCGTCCGAGACCCTCGTACCTCCCCCCCCCCCCCCTCCAGGTTGGTGACGTCGTGCTTATACTCTACATCTCTGTCTGTCTGTTCTGTTGCCAAGCAACGTGCCGCTAAGATCCGCTTGACACGAGGCATCACAAAAGATGCTTTTACCACGCCTCAACGCCTCAACAACGTGACAACGACAGTGGGTCTAAAACTGTGATACACTCAAATAGAGCACACATTCAGACGCCTAGTTTGAGCAAAAGGACCTCCCACCATTGCCACTGAGCGGCATCCTCCGTATGAAGATCAGATTCATCCATCGCACAGCTTGAGACGGTTCAGTTGTGAAATTGTGCAACGCAGGCAGGCCGTTTCGCTGTGGTGTGATGATTGCAAGGTCTTTGATTTCAAACCCGAATATGCAGATGAACCTCAAATGTTAGGTGGCCCTGAATGCCTCTAGTTTTTTTTTTAAGGTTGCGTCGGGCAAAATTACAACGGGATTTTAATGCAATGCGCTGTCAGCACTAGCTGTTGACTATGAAGATCATGCTTCTATTTGACAGTGCTAGCTGAAAAAAATTAACTTGCATGACTGCCTTTTCACGAAGCTTTCAATTTCTGTAGGTGATTGCACGTAACACAAATTAAATGTTTGGGTAAAGCATAGTCGCCTGGCGAACACTGCAGAGATTTGCTTCCGTTTTTTTTTAGTCCCAAGTGCATCCATGATGGGAACGAGACGTTAATGAGATAAGATCTCAAAACGTGATGTGTTTCACCTCGGGCTCAACGTCATTATCACCGCTAGCAGACATGACCTCTAGATGCAGCGCTTACCTGGCTTTTGAAAACCCAGCCAAATCCAGAAGAAGTGCCATGCTTCCCAGAACTTCTCGAACGTCCACGAAGCCAGTCCTCCCAGTCCTTGGGCGACGTCTTGCAGCACCTCGCTGAGCGTCATGCTCACATCAAGTATCTGCAGAGCAAGGTTACAATCATCATTAACGTCACATCTTCAACTCGCCTTTACGCATTCTGCTAGTCTCAGATTTATGCAGTTAGATTTTACGACAGCGCAGCGCACCCTGGCCGGGGCTTACAATTAAGACCCTCATATCAATAGCTAAAGGTCCTAGTCCGCGCCAGGTATGAGATTTTCGTCCCATGAAATTCTTGTGCAATCCAAGAGCGAAATAAGATTAGAACTGAAATATAGGACCGGGTTGCTTCACGTAAAGTACGCACAGCTCCAAAAAACGTATTTTTATGCAAGATTTGGCAACTGACGGAGAAAGCTCGAGTGTTCTAAAATCATTTGTCCTTGAACTGAAGCGCTTTATTTCAGAAACTTGTGATGCTGGACTGAATATAACGATGTGCGGCAGTTTAAGATATTTTTGATGTACATAAAGACATGCTTTCGGTAAATTGTCGGACAAAAACCGGCCCAGGTCACATGATTTTAGAACTAGACATCCTCTTGGTCAGGCAGCCCTTTGCTCACGCCATGCAACGCAAGCTTCAGGGTGGCTTTTATCGGTTTGTTTGCATGCACACAACTGATTGCGTCGAGCAGCATGTTTTCTCAGGAAAGGTACGGTTAGGCATAGTGATAGGATATTAACAGGAAATTCGTCATCAGCTAATTTTTAATAGCCGGTTTTACCAAGAAATGCTATGATCTGCAGGCAATGATTATAGCTAAGCTTTTATGCGTTATTTGGTTATCAGATACACGAAAAGACGTAAGAGCCAACAGGAATTACGTGCAATTGATAACCATGTCTATAAAAAGCACGCGAAAGCAACACATTCGAAAAGGTGTCAGCATCACATTATTTGCATTTCTTCGCTTCTCAACATATCCGTTTTAGGCACTGGCTCCTGGAGACGCTTTTTTCATAATCTGAACACGATTGTTCATACTTTTGCGTTTCCTCAGCATCAAAATAACTTTTCGTTCCACAGAAAAACACAGAGCTGGCTCCACGCTAAACTGAAGACTCTCTAAACTTAAAACAAATTGAAAAAGCTTGGTCAAAAAAGCGATAACGCGTTCTCAGAATAACGAAACTGCAAAGTGTGTGTTGGCAAAGACGAAAACATGAAAAAGCGTCCAGGAAGGCAGAAGTTTGGAAAAGAGAATGGCATGGAAAGCGTCTTTCCGTTTAAACGCTTCGGTATCATCTTCATTTTCATGGCTGGCATACGTTGACCAGTTGTGATACCTATTTCGCTTTGTTGCGACGGAAACCTTTGCGTATTCATTCATCTAGTTTTCCATGTTGGAGACTGTTGTGTGCTAGGTGAGCCGCCGTTGTGTCCATCAAGTCTATACGTTTGGTGACTCCGTGAACAGCACAGAGTTGTTATGTAGCTGCACTGCAGCAAAAAAGTTCCAGTTTAAGATAGCAAAATTCTGCAAGGTACGCGTCTTAATCTGCAGGTGTGCTATATTTATGGAAAATGGGACATGCACTGATCGGTCTGACGATTCAATTTGCTCAAAGACTATCGTTTCTCCAAATTTCCAGGGCTTTCACGACTTGAGGCAATGCCAGACAAGAACATAGTTTGTCAGGAAACATTCATAAAATGGCTGAAAAAGTGAATCCGCAAAAAAGACACTGTAGGTCGGGCGTAGATATCTCTCAGCGGCGTAGTTGCGCTTAACGGATGGGGGGAGCTGGTGAATGAAAAAAGATTGTACCTACGCTCAGGTGGCGCGAACAAGCTTGTTCTTCCAAGACCTGTACCATTTCCTGCTATTTACCCTCGCCCTGATCCGCCATTTTTCATAACGCGAACTGTTAAGGGGATCGATAGATGGGGTCGAACAGTGTAATCTCTGCTTGACCTTTTCACACTAATCACAATAAAGCCAAACAAAAAGCACGGGCGGATTGTTCTTAACGGGATATCGCGACTGATATTAGTTTTGCGTTGTTCGGTCAATTATGGACCCCATTATGCTAGGTCAAAGGCAATTTTTCCCTGAAAATTGCCTTTTCAGCTCGATGACATCATACATACGAGGCCATGTTTCGAGCAGGCACAAAAACTGAACAGACCTGTCCCTTACTCCAGTTTGAGGGCAATTATATATATTTTTACGTGTTTTGGGGATATCTTATGATATATGGCTCCGTTATTGTAGCATTATCGGCCCGCAGCACGCGCTTCGCCGCATCGTTGGCTGGGGCGCGTCGATTCGTGCCGGCCGTAGATCGCCGCGCAGCATTCCTCAAAATCCATCGCTGCTCCGAAACCAGAAAAGCTAGGGACACTTCTCTGGCCTCAAAACACACATAATAGACGCCCTCATGAGTGCTGAAAATTTGGACGCGATCAATTGCATGCCGGAAAGGTATTGGTATTCTCGAAGGTATTATATGTGGAAAGGTATTCTCAAAAAGCCTTAAGCTTCTGGAAGGGTCGGGGGGAGGGGGGAGCTGGAGCCCCCAGCTGAATAGGAAGGTACACCGCTGGTATCAATGCAACAACGGGGTATGCTTAATAATCACAGGTGGTTCGGATGATGACTATCATTATACATAAATGACATAAATAATTGATGATTTGATGATCAAGGATGACTAGGATGATCGGTCATCACCCGAATTACGGATGATCTTCCGGATGGTGGCGGATCTGGTACGGTAAAATTCATCCACCGCCCTCATCGAACCGCCAGCAGCGAGGAACTCCAGCGGGGCGGTTAAACGCTCTCCTGGGGAGATGAGATAACGCATATCCGTGCACTGTTTCCGTAATTTGTAGGACATGACGGTGAAGGGCTTGTAGAATTCGTCGACGCACATCCGGAAGTGAACGCTGTGCGTGTTCGGGTCCGGCTCCCGCGCGAGGCTGCCACACACTCCCGCGCGTGTATGGTATTCGCCATCTCTGGTCCCGATGCAACAGGTGTCGTACGCGCCCAGCAGGCTCGCTGAGCGTGCCGCCCACGCTGTCAGCGCGCCACAGAAGCAACAGCCGCAGGAGGCGGAGGCGATCGACCATGACAAGTAATTAAAAAGGCGGAGACGGATCTACGACAAGCAATTATGATTTGCTCGCTATGGGCTGGACAACCCGTCAAAGCTTCTCGTTAAAGTTGCCATCGGATGCCAGGCATGTAGATACTGGCAAACGTGACCACAAACGTGAAAAAGCATGCTGAGGACACAAAAAAAAAACTCGAAAAGGGCATTCTTATAAAGACGAAATCTTTTAAAAAAATAATTCATAAAACGCAAAATCATGAAGAGCGCGGGCCGTGGAGCCAGACCCTCACAAATAACTACATATAAAACTTACGAACATCGGAAACACAAGACAATGACGCTGACACTCTCAGCTAATTGATGCACACCTGTCCATGGGAATTCAGCCGGTGTCCATGCACTTCCCAGAGCGAGAGCCCTTCCTGTGACACTGCCGCACCGGCTCGTCTCCAATGTCTCTGCCACTTCCGCATGGCACCCAGGGGCAGTAGCAGCGAGAAGCCCAGTAAGGAACCCTGATCCCATTAGACGTTTAGCATAACGCCACTTAGGATCACCAACGACAGATTTAGAATGGCAGTCTTCTTCACCAGACGGCGACAAATTTGTCTATTAAAAGGAAAAACTCTGTTCATTTGGTAAAAATGTAACTGCTCGCGTATAATTATGATAGATGCATCGTGGTCTGACTGAGAAGCCAGTTTTTCTCCAAATTCCATCAAACTTTAAGTAAATCAAAACATGTCAGTCAGGCCATTACCACTCAAATACCGCACACTATGGTTTGAGCACATTTGCATGATGTCATCCACATAGCCTATCTGCGGAGGACTGTCGCATCGGCTCTGGTCCGTTTCAAACTTCTGTTCCATGATTGGCCACTACTGGCGTATGCGAAAGCGCCAATTTCGAAGCTGATTGGCCACCGACCGCCACACCGCGTCACGGGCATCCACCGGTGCTGTTCAAAGCTATCAAGATGTCAAAATGCTCTTCCTGCACCTCGAGTCATCCAGCTCCACTTTCCGTGCATCGTGTGCGAAGCTGACTAACTCTGAGCGTGGGTGGAAGCTTTCCGTTAATTGGAAAGCAGCTACACTTCTAGTATTTTGTAAAATAACCTCAATGTTTTAGCTTTTTATGTATATGTGGTGTGCACAGTTGCCCACAAATGCATCCCTATCGTCTCTTGTAAAGTTGTCTCTGAGGTTTCAGATAGCGTTACGGAAGATCACAGAACTTCAAAGTTGGTAACCTCCTGCCAGATCGAGGTGCAACCATGTTAACCATGTTCCACATGATATGTCATGCTATAAAAATGCCTACGTAAATATGCAATGGGCTGCACCACGCGTATTGAAATGGGTTTTGATGCATTATTTCGGCTCAAGAGGGAAAAATCGGCACCCTGCTACATTGCGAAGAACATGCTATTTATTCGTCAGGCGGCATCTACAGTTGGTCCAGACTGGCTGCAACAGGTGAATGACTGACTTGAGGGTTTGAGGCGATTATCTGGGGAACGGTGGCCAGTAGCGCGTGTCACGCACTTGTCCGCGCTACCCACAGTGCAGTGGAAGGACCCAGACGGCAGCAGAAGAAAACAAAACTATATGGTCCTGATTGTTGATGGTAATGGGGCCAGGGACCCATGGAGAGGATAGAGATGACCTTGCTCGGTGGGGTGGAAACAACGACATCTGCTCATTTTAGTGAATCAGTGAAGAACGTATGGCTGATGTTCAGGATGCCATTTGTCCTGAATGCACGTCAGAAGGACATACTCTCTTTGGCATGTGTTGAACATGGCCTTGCTATGGCCTCCGCTGCGAGCTTTGTTTTCATTTCTATAGAAATCTGGGGACGTCTTTGCAGCGGACCCTAGACCAAACAAACAGGTCAAAAATATGTCCGCCTCTGGGCTTGCCTACATTTACCCAGATAAACAGCACTGGGCGATGCTATGTATACA